GACTCACGTATTTTTTGTATGAATGTTAAAAATTGCAGAACTTGGTGCAAGCGATTCGCATACATTTATTCTGACGTAACATTTTGTTCAAATTCCCTGCGTACCAATGTTTTGTAGATTTTTTTTGTATTTTTGTTCAAAACGTGGTTGAAAATCAAAAAAAAGTGAGAAAATATTTGTTAAGTGTTTGCTGATCTATATACAGGGTAATCTTTTATTCTTTGGTGAATTTTAAGGGGTCCTTCGTATAAAATTTTTATCTAGGACGCTTCGTTAAAAAGATACAGGATGTTAAACTTCAAAAAATATTTTTAAGTTTTTTAAATAATTAATTTAATTTTTCGAAAAAAAACCTGATTTTCAAGTAAAATTTTAAAAAACGAGTTAAAACACTTTTATTTAAATGACATGACAAACACTAATCGTTCGGTTATTTATTCGAATAAAGAAATTAATAACATTAGTCATCATTTTAATTATATTATTTGAGTAAATACTCAAAAATACCTCCATTTGCACGAACACAGGCGCGACATCATTTTAGTAACGAAAATGTAATTTGTTCGAAATTTATTGTTGTTTGCATAATTTATTCTTGCTTCTAACTGCTCAGTCTATTAGACCAAGCAAATTAAATTTTTACTCGAAAAAAGTCCTATCCGCTAGATTATTGTAAAATTGTCTAAAGGAACATAATACAAGACATCTCTCGTCTCGTGAGTCAAAAACATTTATTAGCTAACTTTTCTATTTAAACAAATAAGTGAGGAAAACAGTTTTTTCACTTTGCAGGGAAAACCATCAATTTTAGCGAAAAGTGACTCTCATACCGCTTATAGGGATTAAAATTATCTACAAAATGAGACTAGTTAAATTAAAATCGGTTAATAAACAAAAAAGTTATTGCAAAAAAACAAGAATAGTGCCCATTTTTTCATTTGTTTATAACAATAGCATTTACTGTTAAAATTTTATAAAGCCTATGACAAGTTGAGGGTTTTGTCATACTTTAAAAGTGTGCCAAAAGTGGGCGCTGTAGGTGCAATAGTTTTCGCACAGTTCTATTTGTTTATAGCGGAGGCTTCAAAAGTTATAAACTTTAAGCCTTCGTACAGGCGTTAATTTTCAATCAAACATGATTCTGAAAGCGTCATTGTAATCTTAAAGATGCAATTAAGCGACCGTTTTTTTGACATTAACATTCTCAAATTGTGCATTAAAAAACCGTGCGTTTTTCGCTTATAAACAATTTGAATAACATCGTTGCTATTTATGCTATCTCACCGAAAATAGATGCAGTGGATAGCTGGCAAAAAAATACAGTTTTAAAATAAAAAAGTACCCTCTACGACCAACAGGAGTCAAGATAAGAATTTAAAAAAAAGCGTAGCGCAATTGTTTATAAATATTAAGACTTGAATTTTTCGCAAAATAAAGTTTACGACGTAAACTACGATTTCCTGTGAATTGCATTGAATAATGTGGAAAATTAACGACTCACGAGCCCTTTGAAGAGAAGGTACTCACTAAGTAAACTGTCCGGCGGCCGTCGGCGTGGTGGTGGGGGAAGCTCGTCCAAGCGGTCGCGCGGGCAAGAAAAGTTAAATAAAAAGTTCAAATAAGTGCACGCTGTAAATTTTGCAATATCTCGGCTTCTATTCATCGTAGAAACTTATTTTTTTTAAACTAGGGTAGCTCGACGAAAAAATTACAATGGGCATATTTACGAATTCGTAGAATAGCCCTGAACCCCAGAAAAAATGCGTCCTTTATACTTAATTTTTTTAATTTTCAATAATGTCACAAAAATTATTGTTAAACGAAATATTAATTAAAATTTCAATTTCGGAATTATTTTACTATTATTAAATATATAAATGATGCCCTCGTTCATTTAAAACATTATTTTTTTACATATTTATTTTACAAAGTAAACTTGTTTTTTCAATATTTTGTTGGCTATTTAATTTACGATTTAAATGTAAAATTAAAGTAAAAACTTAAAAAAAAATATTTTCAAATAATTATTTATTGTTAAAAGATTTAAATAAGAATAAAAAGCATTTGAATTTATTGCAAAATTTTCAAAATTAAAAAATAATAAAAATAATGCGGTCGATAAAATTACAATTTTAACTTCCTGAAATTTTAATATTTAAAGTTTTTTTATTATACTTATTACTAATTTTATAAACAAAATCAAAATTAATTCAAAACATATTAATCACAACCATTTTCAATAATAGATATAAATAATGCATTATAATATACAATTTAAAATTTAAAATTTTTTCTATTTTTATGAGAAATAATAATTTGAAAATAATTTATGAATTTTTACTTTAATTTTACATTTAAATCGTAATTAAGTAGCTAAAAAAATATTGAAAAAACAAGTTTACTTTGCCTTAATATGTAAAAGAAATAACTTTTTAAATGAACGATAGCTTCATTTATTTATTTAATAATAGTAAAATAATTCCGAAATTGAAATTTTAATTAATATTTCGTTTAACAATGATTTTTGTGACATTTTTATAAATTAAAAAAAAATTAATTATAAAAGATACATTTTTTCTGGGGTTCAGGGCTATTCTACGAATTCGTAAATATGTCCATTGCTATTTTTTCGTCGAGCTACCCCAGTTTAAAAAAAAATAAGTTTCTACGATGAATAGAAGACGAGATATTGCAAAATTTACAGCGCGCACTTATTTGAACTTTGGATTTAAGTTTTCTTGCCCGCGCGACCGCTTGGAGGAGCTTCCTCCACCACCACGCCGCCGGCCGCCGGACAGTTTACTTAGTGAGTACGTTCTCTTTAAAGGGCTCGTGAGTCGTTAATTTTCCACATTTTTCAATGTAATTCACGGGAAATCGTAGTTTACGTCGTAAACTTTATATTGCGAAAAATTTAAGTCTTAATATTTATAAACAATTGCGCTACGATTTAAAAAAAAATCTTATCTTGGTTCCTGTTGGTCGTAGAGGGTACGTTTTTTATTTTAAAACTGTATTTTTTTGCCAGCTATCCACTGCATCTATTTTCGGTGAGATAGCATAAATACTAAGAATGTTATTCAAATTGTTTATAAGCGAAAAACGCAGGGTTTTTTAATGCACAATTTGAGAATGTTAATGTCAAAAAAACGGTCGCTTAATTGCATCTTTAAGATTACAATGACGCTTTCAGAATCATGTTTGATTGAAAATTAACGCCTGTACGAAGGCTTAAAGTTTATAACTTTTGAAGCCTCCGCTATAAACAAATAGAACTGTGCGAAAACTATTGCACCTACAGCGCCCACTTTTGGCACACTTTTAAAGTATGACAAAACCCTCAACTTGTCATAGGCTTTATAAAATTTTAACAGTAAATGCTATTGTTATAAACAAATGAAAAAATGGGCACTATTCTTGTTTTTTGCAATAACTTTTTTGTTTATTAACCGATTTTAATTTAACTAGTCTCATTTTGTAGATAATTTTAATCCCTATAAGCGGTATGAGAGTCACTTTTCGCTAAAATTGATGGTTTTCCCTGCAAAGTGAAAAAACTGTTTTCCTCACTTATTTGTTTAAATAGAAAAGTTAGCTAATAAATGTTTTTGACTCACGAGACGAGAGATGTCTTGTATTATGTTCCTTTAGACAATTTTACAATAATCTAGCGGATAGGACTTATTACGAGTAAAAATTTAATTTGCTTGGTCTAATAGACTGAGCGGTACAAAATTGAAAGACGAATTCGAAAATATTACAATTGTTACCGTAAAGCAGTGGCCACTATTTTATTTAGAGAAATATGCCACCGATACCCTGTATCTTTACTGTCTGTCACAATGTTTACATAAATACATGTGGCCAATTTCAAATTATTTCATTACAAGTTTTTAAATTATTAAAAAAAAATATTTTTATAAGTTTAACACCCTGTGTCTTTTATTATTATATAGTATTTTGTGCAAAATTCTTTCTAAACTGCCCGGGTTCTTCTGGCTGTGTCATCTGCCCATATTTCTTGTAAGGATGCTACTTTTGAGACTTCAGAGTTCTGTGAAGTGAGGACTTCGACAAGTTGAATTTGGCTGAGATAGATCTAATGGATGAGTGAGGATTTTCGGTAACGGCGGGCATCACATTTTCATGGTCATTCTCGCTTACCGTTCTTCGCCTTCCTGATCCAGGTAAATCTTTTATACTTCCGGGTTCTTCAAACTTTTTGGATACTTTACTTATTGTAGTTCGGCTAATTCTGGATACTTATGGTGAAATAAGTCACATACCTCCTGTTGACTACGGATATTATCCTCACATCCAATCATAATTCAAGTCTCTATTTTTTGCATAAATGGCAACCATTTTTCAAAATAATTTAACAACGAATGAATTGGAACTAAAACGAATCACGTTATACCTAAGACACCCTGGTAAAATTTATTTATTTATCGATGTTTTTTTTTTTGAAAAAGTAAGTAAATTAATAAAGCGTAGGTACGTTTTTGAAAGTACAAAAGAGACTTTGACTATTGTTTGAAATAATCGTCAGTACGACATAAAAGACAGTTTTTTACATTTTTTTGACAATTATGACGAAAACGTACCTTTACTTAATATCGTAAAATTTTTTTTTAATACTTATCAAACATTTATCACATTCATTTTTATAATATTCCACTAAACACATTCTGATTCACATTTGGAAATTAAATTTAATTTTAATGTAAAACATAGATCTTGCCCCTAATAAAGAAAAAATATAAACAAAGATACGAACGATAATGTAAAAATCCTTTCTTGTTTGTGTGTTATTAATATTCTTTAAAATATAATTTTAGAGTATTTATAAAAAAAATTGACTTCAAACACAGGCACAGGACCCCTCCCACTTGCACACTTTTACATACGTTTTAAACATGTTTGGTCCCATATACTTTTGTGCAGCGCAGTTAGCGAAAAAATTAGAGGGAAATGGGTTAGAAAGAAATGTTAATATCTACCTCAGTAGAGACTCCCTGGATCGCCAGTCTCTATTCCTCACAACAGTTCTTAGGCATCCCGTCGTTAACAGCAACATAACGAAACACACTATTGTTTGGCGGTGGGAAGAATAGAAACTCCACAATACTTGGATTCCATAGACCACTAGAAGGATGCAACCTAGGCTGAAACAAAAATTCCAAAGATAAGTTAATTTTTTCGCACGGGTTCGAATAACGTCAATAATTACATTAATTTTAGGATTAAAGAAAATTTGAAAATGTAATTAGGTACTTTCTCCACGATAAAAAATAAACTTCCGATATTAGTTGTAGAAAAAATTTTCAGTTCATCAGTTAGATCTATTTGAGTTGCTGAAAAAATAAATATACAGGGTGTTCCTAAATAAGTGTCGCAACGGAAAGCTGTAAATTCCTCTTGAAAAAAGAAACATTTTTTTCCTCTTCCATTTTTCTCTCCGGGCTTTCGTTTTCGAGATACACGGTGTCAAAACTATAATTTTTTTTTAGTTTTTCGCCAATATCTTAGGAATCGTTTGAACTACAGGACTGAGCTTTTGTACACACATTACCACTATTAATAACTACTTTTTCGCACCCTTCTCGAATTAATTGGACGTGCCAGTGGTGGAGATTTTAAGGTATCGTAAGGGTTTCCCCCCCCCTAAATTTTACACCACTGGAAAAACTGACTTTTGACAGCAAATTCTAAAGCGGCAATGAATTTTACACAATAAGAGTTTTCTTGGTTCATTGCTCTAAAGTCAACCGTTTTCAAGAAAAATGACTTTTTATGAACAAGAGCAAACATTTTGCTAACGTTTCGAAAATCTTTTGAAATTCAAAAAATAGGTAGTAATAATTAACAATTTTAACGAAATTTAACAACAGATAGGATTTTAACTTTTTTTATCAATTTGGCGAGTAAAATTTACAGAAACTATTCAAAATTATCTTCTAATCATGTTTCTTTCTGCCGCTGCGGTTTCACCTCTATCGGTCAACTTTTCGATAGTATTGACATGGATTTCATAAACGATGCATTTCGTTCTTCGGATGTTCTGTTCAGTTACTTGCACTTGCAAAATGTTCAAAATGCAAAATGCAAAATGTAAAAAATTTTCGAAACGTTAGCAAAATGTTTGCTTTTGTTCATAAAAAGTCATTTTTCTTGAAAACGGTTGACTTTAGAGCAATGAACCAAGAGAACTCTTATTGTGTAAAATTCATTGGCGCTTTAGAATTTGCTGTCAAAAGTCAGTTTTTCCAGTGGCATAAAATTTAGGGGGGGGGGGGGAACCCTTATGATACCTTAAAATCTCCACCACTGGCACGTCCAATGAATTCGAAAAGGGTGCGAAAAAGTAGCTATTAATAGTGGTAATGTGTGTACAAAATCTCAGTCCTGTAGTTCAAACGATTCCTAAGATATTGGCGAAAAACTAAAAAAAAAATTAAGTTTTGACACCGTGTATCTCGAAAACGAAAGCCCGGAGAGAAAAATGGAAGAGGAAAAAAATGTTTCTTTTTTGAAGAGGAATTTACAGTGTTCCGTTGCGACACATATTTAGGAACACCCTGTATATAAATAAATATCTACAGGGTAGTTCCGAGGTAATGGGCCAAAATTCACGTATAGAATCCCCAAGAAAAAATATTGCGATATAGCTGAACTTACCTTAGTTCAAAAGTTGATAGTTAAAAAGATACAGGGTGTTAAATGTTAAATATTAATTCAGTTCTTTTTTTCATTTATTCCTTAACAAATGCAAATATCCTCACAAAATTTTGGGGATTGGAGTTCGTTGAGTAGAGGAATTGAAATCTGTTCACATTTTGGTTAAAGTTCACAGAGGGCGCTAGCTGCAATAGATTGAATGTGTTAAAAACTACAACTTTTTTGTACTTTAAGGTATCTCATCTTTGGTATCATAATCTTATTTTCCAACTTTTTTTACACAAAAAAGGTATACTTTATGAAAGTAACTATCTCGCACCGTTTTCGAGATATTTGGCTTTAAAGCTTCCATTGCTGTTGCATTAAATTACAATTAAGTAGGTACCTACAGGTATTATTAATTTAGCGGCAAAGTTTCTTAAGTAGGATTTGGAGGAAAATCAAATAATTGACGTTGTCCACTTGGCTTATTTAGGTATGCAATTAGTTCTATTAAGTATTATTCGTACCTAATTAAAATTACAACTTAGCTTATAATTTAAATTTTATACACGTTTATACATAAATGTGGGATAGTTTTTGGAGCTACATGAATTCAGTTGTTTATGGAGAAACTATAAACACCTGAGAAAAACTTTAGCAACAGATTTTAAATGCTGCAAAGTCAATTCGCGTTAAGGATTTATACTTTAAAATAAGACAATTTTTTTAATAAACGCGCTGATAAATGTATTGAACTTAGAGGTGGACATTTTGAGCAATTATTGTCAAAAAGGCATATTTTTTTACTAATGTTTACTATTTTACTGTTCATTACAATTTTTTATTCTAAATAAACCCTTGTTTTTGACATTTCTGAATTATTTTCATTATTTCAACTATTAGCATTGGCAGTTTCAAAGTCAAATATATCGGAAACGGTGCGGGACAGCTACTTTCTTAAAGTCTACCTTTTTTGTTTAAAAAAAGTTGGAAAATAAGAATTTGATACCAAATATTAGATACCTTAAAGTAGAAAAAAGTTATGTCGTTTCCAACCCATTCAATCTACGACAGCTGGCGCCCTCTATGAACTATAACCAAAATGTGAACAAATTTCGATTCCTCTATCCAAAGAACCCCAAACCCCAAAATTTTGTGTAGATATTTGCATTTATTAAGAAATAAATGGAAATAAACTAAAATAATATTTTACATTTAACACCATGTATCTCCTTAACTATCAACTTTTCGACTAAGGTAAGTTCGGCTAAATCGCAATATTTTTGCTTGAAGAATCTACCCATGAATTTTGGCCCATTACCTCGGGACCACCCTGTATAAATAATATATGCTTATAAAAACTTAGAAGAGTAACTATTCTTCATTTAATTTATTTTAAGAAAGTCATATTGCTCTAAAAAAAATGCTTGGACTAGTTTGTTATCATCAAATAGTTAATAAAAACTGTAGGAGTAAGGTATAATAGTTTTTGCCAGTTGCTGCAGTTTGCAGTAAGATGATAGTTTTATATTATCTTTTTACAAACGAACGTCAAAGTTTACCTTTAAATATTATAGACACAACCACAATTTACATTGAAAAGTTTGCCTGAGAAAGTAATGAGTTTTTAAGGAAACTTGTTTATCGAACTCAGTTGAAAGGGTATATTATAAACGTATTATTAGAAAGTTGGTAGACAGACAATTTTCTTTGAAAGTCGATGTCAAAACTAAACTTGGTTTTCCTTTGAACGTGCTAGATTACTTTAGTAGTTAATAACGGGTAGCTTGTTAGTGGTATATTTTGGTATTTCATCGTTACCAACTCCACGTATATCTGTAAAATATGGAATAGGTAATAAAGTTGAGTCTGGTTTAATCTACTTTTTTACTACTACGTCTAAATTGAACGGGTGATTCAGAACTTATCAAAAAAAAATTCTGGATGTACAGGGGACCCTTACAAATACAATTTTGTAAAGAAAAAATCAAAAAGGTCAATTCGAAATTGATTTAAAAATACACTTCTGCACGGCACTGGAAACTGGTCCACTGTAAAACCTGACCTCGCATAATGCGACCGGTATGGCGGCGTGATAAAAACGGACAAAAACTTTCGCAAGGAAAGAAATATGTAAATAGAATTTTATCGCACCTATTTTATATCGGCATATTCAAATGCTTTTGCCTTTATTAATTATTAATAAAATTAATTTGTGTTTTTAAATAATAAAATCATTTGACATACCCGATGCTGCAACAGCAATTGTTCAAAATTTTATCAACTCACGTGTAAACCCATTTGGGTCCGTCTTACTCACTTTCTACGAACTAACACACATGATATCTTGTTTCACCATAACACAAACGCTTCACCATAAATTAAAACGATATCCATCAACTCCGAGTACACGCAAACCATTTTTGACACTAACTACCCATTTTTGACATCAACTACTAAAAACGTATTATAAAAACCACAGATAACAGGTAAATATCGCAACGACGATTGCAAAATCCGAATTCAGTATTCGGAGTCGATGAGGCCACGTGGCGAATGATGCTAGAGACTACAGTTGTCCAGCTATGTAGTGGTTTAATGTGCTATAACTTCAATAATTTTTTTCTCAGAAACTATAAGGATTTTACAATTTTTTTTTTACAATATTGACTCCATTTCTCATGCCGCATCTATTCCCAAATTTTTTTGGATACGTTGTGAATCACCCTGTATAACTGATTTACTATTCAAGTAGGGTACAAGTTTTGGGAATCTTTTTGTATTAATATTTGCATTAACATTCAATTAGCCCGGTGAAAATAGACATTCAGGGTTACAATAATTCGCATGTAGCTGAAAATTGGAACGAATGAAGTTCCATTAGATAATTATCAATCAATCAGAATAGTTTTCCCCAATTACTCATAGTTTACACCGCTTTCATCATTTTCAATAGTACCATTTGTTATTTAATACAATATTATTTAATTAAACAGGACCACTGTAGATCGTGGAATAGTCCTACCGGGGAAATCACGTTAAAAAAACACGCCAAGTAAACTATCTCATAGGTGACGTGGAAACTTGTGCATATTACACAACCTTTTCAACTTTTTGAATCGCTATATCTCAGAAATGGTGATTCTTAAGGAAAAAAGTGTAAGAATAATTTTTATAGATAATTGTCTGATCTATTTTTATGATAAAACTTTGGCAGAAAGATGCAAAAAACCCATATTTGCGAACTTTGACCTTGAATAAATTTTTTGCAGATGTGAAATTGATGGGGACTTTTCACATTTCATTTATAATGACGTTCCCAACATTCACACTAATTTTCAGCTTTATGCGAATTATTGTAAGCTTACCCCTATTTTTTAAACTACTTTGACCAGGTTAAATGTACTTTTTAACATAGATTGGCCATAATGTTGGAGATTCCACTTTCACGATCGTTTACTCAAAATAAACTAGTAACATAGTTTCAGATGTTTAAAGCATTAAAGCTACTTCATATTGTCTTGCAGATTTTTTAAGATTAAATTTTGACGCTGAATTTTTTGCGGTTCTAGATAATTTCACGGGGCAAATATTCTTCAACATATTTGAAAAATACTTTTCGCTTGCCACTTCAATCATACTTATATAGAGACCAGAATCAAATGAAAATTGATTTATGGCATACTAATTTCTAACTCTTACTATAAACGTCGAATTTATTTATCATAAATATGAAGATGTTGTGTCCTCCTTTCACCAATTTTAACAAATTTTCAAAGTATTTTTCGAAAAAATATTGTTTAATATACAATATGTACATACACAAAGTCGCTTTTATGTTCTCGAATAGTTTTCTCTACAGGGTGTGAGATAACGAATGTTATATGCTTTAAGGGTATAATCTAGAACCCAAAAAATATTGCCGATTTAACCAAATTTGCTTAAACAAAAAATGTCGCAAAAAAAATTACAATAACATTTTTGTAAGTTTAAATTTTTACACGCAACTATCAGAAATAGGTAGATAATTTTATTCTACACAAAAAATGTATACCTATCAAAAGTCGAAATTATGCTCGGTTATGATATTACAGAAAATATTTATTAACACAAAGACATAGTGTTGTTAATACTACGACGATTTTTTTCTACACCATTTAATTTATTATTTAAAATAATAAAAAATTGCTTTTGAACTTTTTTTGCCTTTGATTTTCAGACACGAACAAAATTTACCTTTCAAATTTTATTTACCTCCTATGATATTGCCACGACAAAGACAAAAAATTATGTTAGCTATTGTCGCCCTCATAGTATCGTTCTGAATAACTCGCATGCTTGTGTGAAAGATAAGTTGGTCGGGGGTTGAAAAGAAAATTACTATTATTTATTGTTATTATACAGGGTGTCTCATAATTAGCTGCCAACCCTGAACAGGCCGATTCTATGATCAAAACTAAGTAAAAAAGTTCATATGAACATGGGTCCGGAAATGCTTCCTAAGGGCACAGGGACCCATTGAAGAGGGAGGAATGGAAATCATTTTTTTGCAATATCTCTCAATCGCGTTGTGATAAATGAATGAAATTTGGTATACACAGCTAAATTTTGATGAGCAATTTGATGGAGTAATCCATTTATTTCCACAAGGTCCATTGGGGTGGGTACGGGGGAGCCTTGGTACTTTGCGTGTGTAACTTTTTCATCTTTGACTTTTTAACAAATTGGACAGCAAATTCCGTTTTCCCGAACTGTTTTACGTTAAAAAGGTACGCTTGTTTCAAATAGTTATCTTTAACGGTTTCTGAGATAATCGCTCTTGAATTAATCGCACATTGGTCAATTTCATAGTAATTTGAACAAAAAATAATAATAATAATTTTCCTTTCCTCTCTTTTCCATTTAAAGGATTAATTTTAATTTAATTTAATTTTTTATAATTATTTTTTATTAAAATTAGATTAAATTTAAACAAAAAAAATTGTTTGTTTAAATTACTACGTAAGTAACTTAAATGGGGGTAAAGTTGCATAATCAGGGGACTAACATTATGCCTCTAAAAAATCAAGGAAGACTAACATGATGAGTATTCGAAATATTTGAAAAAAAAAACGAAATTTTTGAAACCCGTTTTTGTTTAATTTCAGCCTTGTTTGAGGTGGTATTGAAAAAAGAAGAACACTTTCTCATGCCAACTTTTTGCCCTCTATCGAATGACATAATTATTTTTTATATGTATCATTTCGTCTCTTCAGGCTCATCATTAAGTAAATAAGTTCATTTTTTGAATACGGCCCTAGAAATATCACTTTTTGCAAGCTTTCTTGACCCAGCCCGAACCAGATTAAGACGTTTTGTTTAGAAAAATTCATCTTCATTGTGTCGTTAGACCTTATGAAATCCACCTAATTATTTAAACTATTACCATTACACGTTACAATAAAACATTATTAGAATTTTAATCCAGTGTTTGTAGTTATTTCCAGGTTTCTCGAGTGCTCAAAATTCAAATTTCGATCTAATTTTTTTCAGGATATTGATACAAATACATCTGACATGCTCTTTCACAGCTGCAGTGACAGGTATAATAAATTCAAATAATCATATTAAGCTTATCTTCATTTTCAACATTTGCAAAAACGGAAAACGCTTAGTGTAATTTTTTAAAGTATAATATTCATTTGGGATTTTGGTTGTTCATATGCATTTTTAAGAATTAATTTGTCATAATGAAATTAAAATTGTAATAATGTTTTAATTTTGATGAAGCCACTTATCGAGTTATTTATGACCAGATGATGGTATTAGTTTAAGTAACTAGGTGGATCTCACAGGGTGAACACTTAGAGTGAACGATAATTCAATAAACGAAAATCTAAATAAAGAATTTAGATAAATTTGGAACGAATACATTGAAGATGAATTTTTCGAGACAAAACTTCTTAATCTGGTTCGAGCTGAGACAGTACAGTATTGGGGGCCATGAAGGCTTGCAACAAATGTAACCAAGTATTTACAGAGTCGTATTTAAAAAAATGAAGTTGACGGTGGTTCTGAAGGGACGAAACGTTACATATAAAAATTGATTATCCCATTTGATAGCAGGCAAAAAATTGTCATGAGTAAGTGTTCTTCTTTTCTCAATATCAATATCAATCTTCAAACAAGGCTGAAATGAAACAAAAACGGATTTCCAAAATTTCGGTTTTTTTCAAACATTTCGAAATTTAATCATGTTAGCCTTGATTTTTAGAGGCATAACTTTGGTCCCCTGATTATGCAACTTTGCCCTCATTTAAGTTACTTCGTATCTCTTATTGTTTCCGAGATCCCTGTAGTGAGAAGCAAATTTGTAACAGCCTGTATAGATACCTCAAACTAATTTGTATAAAAAATTCAGACAAGTTGACCAAAATTGCACACACTATTATGTATGTTTATAATCAATAGTTTTAACAATCACCTAACATTTAATAAACTTTTCTATAGCAAAGTTTAAAGGACCTCGCACTGTCTTTATGAAAATGTGGGTTCGGTCAAATTGGCTAAAATTGTGGTAAGTTGTTGGTTCTATGTTAGAGAACAAAAGTCTCCACAGTATTTGGGTTCGAAAATCTATTATTTCCTACTTACAGTGGTCCGAGTCAGTTCTGTTGATGATGGCTGCAAAGTAATACGAGTAGAATATTGCAATAAAAACAGTAACTCTTATAAAGCGTTTTTTTCAAAAAAATATATTGTGCTACTTTCAGAACCAGAGTGGAGACTGGTACAGCAGCCAGTTTGGTAAATTTGGTATATTTGGTTTCTGCTATAACTAGGAAAGAATTGATTTTCAGACTCAATACATACTCATACATACAGGGGAAGCTTTTAGTCAGTAACACAAAACCAATAACTTACCACAATTTCAGTCAATTTCACCTAGCCCACGTTTTCATAAAGACAGTGCCGGATCCTTTAAAGTTCCAGTTGGGCAAATTGGGCAATTACATATATAAAATGAGTAATGGTAATTTTTGTCACTTAAGAATAAGACGCTTTGACGAGACGTCGTTTTATCTCTTTTTCTGTGTATTGAAATATGAATAAAATTTATGGCTCTCCCGTCCAACTACTTATGCGTCAACCTTCTGACAAATTCCATTCAAAGGAAAGCACATAAAAATATATATATGTTCCACCTACCTAGGGATATAAAGTACTCTTTCAGCTACCACGAATCCAACAGTCACCAGTAAATTCGTAGCCGGCAGGAAAGGGAAAACAAGAAGAATCAGCCCCAAGACAATAGGGGTGTGCCTTTGACTCTGGAAACAAAAGAAAGTATAAAACTCCTGCAGCCGAGTATTATTTTATTGAACGTAAGATTAAATTAGATATCAAAGAAAGCGTTGTATTATAAATAAGGGGCGCTGTGCAGCGGGATGATGGATGGAGGGAGACTGTTCTGCCTTTGAAATATTTAAAGTTACAAATTACAAAAAAAGTAGGGGATGTATCCTACAATTATAAAACTTTCCTCAAATCTGATATTTTTTGAAATTTTATATGCTACTTTAATTATCTAAGAATTCATGGTATATTTTCATTTATTACTTTATTGTTTATGTGTTTAAAGAATCCCTGTAGGTTCAACCAAGAGTTGTGTAATAAGCGTCCTTTTATTAAATTTCCAATAAAAAATACTGCTGATACGATTTTAAAAATATTGGCTCATAAAAAATCGTAAATATTGAGAATATATTTCGAGGTTATGGTTTCCAAATACGCCCATTATAGTCCAACCAAATTACACTTGGAGAAAAAAAAAAATGTTACCAGGACTTTTATAAGTGGAAATGGTAAAAGGGCTTATAATAAACCTAAAAAAATAAATGCGTGAGCAGGGGCGGCGGATTGTATTATTGGGATTTCTGGCGAAAGTTGACGTCAAACAAAAAAATATCTAATACAAAAATTGTAGATCATGCAAAAATGTACAATTTTTGTAGAGGACACTTTTTAACATAACCTCAAAATTTCCGAGAAAAATGCGAAAAACAGGTTTTTTTCTAATTTTTCCGCAAAAATAATTTAATTTTGACCGAACTTGGTGAAAGTATACCTTTCTCTGTCTTAAATAACCTCACATTTTTTTAGATAAAAAAATCAAGAAGTTTCTGAGATATTCATTTTTTTCGGCCTGAAACACTTTTTTTTTTTTTAAAGAAAAATTCTACTTAAAAAATCATTGTATAGATTTGTGCTGGTAATAATTTTTTTCGTTTCGACATATACTTATGGGTGAAATAAAAAATTCTGTAATAACATTTCAAAAACATGCTCAAAAATGCAAAAAAAAAATAAAAAATGGCTTGCAACAATGAATTTTTCAGTTATTGTTGATAATTTGTTTAAATTAAAAAACATTCAAAAACTGATTACACCATTCAGTTCTACGGAAAAAAATAAAAAAAACTGTGTCTCATTGTTTAACCCGAAACTTTATTTTTGTACAGTGTTGCTATAAACATCTAAGTCGAATTACAAATGCACAAATGATAAATTATCTCTGGATGATTTCAGCAATACAAAGTATTAACTGCAAAGCCTACTGTTGACGCGAAATCCGAAAACCCTAAATTTTGCAAAATTGTTTAATTTTTTTTCTGGCTTTATTTGAAAACGAATTTTAAATAAATTGCATATTTACATTGCCACTTTTTTCGCTTTATCCAATGGCGTCAACATTTTTGCAATCCCACGTTTCGTCTTCGACGGGCCATCATCAGATTAATTTTATTAAATATATCGCTGCTATTTTTATGACAAAATCTAGTCATTTTTAATTCTGTATTAGATGATATTGCTATTGTAATCGCTTAAAAAGGTTTTTAGCTATCATTAAAAATTTTTCCTGAGTACGGCTCTGAACGCTTTCAAAATACCTGTATCTATCGGAGGAGAGAGAAAGAGAGAGAGGAGAGAATAAAAGTCAATACTGCGCAAAATGTCCTACAATTTTTTTAATCCATAATTTAAAAAGTTGTACCTAATAAAAAAATAATACGAATTTACGAAATACCTATTGTATTATTTCTAATTAGTATTGCTAACAGTAGTAAAAAATTGTTGGATATTTTGTGCGGTATTGACTTTTATACTGTTATGACTTCATCCAATAGATATTTTGAAAGCGTTTAGAGCCGTACTCAGGAAAAATTTAAAATTATAGCTAAAACAAGCTAAACACTTTTTAAGCGATTACAATAGTAATATCCTCTAATTCAAAATTAAAAGTAGGTACTTTAGATTTTATCATAAAAATAGCAGCGACGTAATTAAAAAATAAACCCGATGATGGCCCCTCGAAGACGAAACGTCGGATAGCAAAAATGTTGACGCCATTGTATAGAGCGAAAAAAGTGGAATTGTAAATATGTAATTTATTTTAAAATTCGTTTTCAAATAAAGCCAGAAAAAATTAAGCAATTTAACAAAATTTCGGGTTTTTCCGGAACTACCCGGAATTTTAAAACTTTCTAAACAGCTTTATACTGTTAGGTATAAAAAAATACAACTTTTTTCTAATCTCAGCCACCCTGTATCTTTTACCGTTTCCTAGATCCTAATGCTATCCCATCCTTATCTTGGACACACTGTATATCTATGAATTCATCAAACTTAAAAAAAATAAGTACACTAATCGATCCTACGGAAAAAAAAATTATTTTATTTATTCATTATTCGACTTATGTTTATAGCAATACTGTATAAAAAATAGTTTTGGGTCAAACAATGAGACAGTTGTTTTTAAATTTTTTTCCATAGAATTGAATAGTATAATCAGTTTTTGAATGTTTTTTAAATTAAACAAATTATCAACAATAACTGAAAAATTTTCTTTTTTTTTCCCTCTAAATGAGTTATTTTGATCAGTCTATTACGTCTATTTAAAGAAAATATTTGAATATTTTTTGTTTTAACTTACTGTGTTAATGAACTGGGATATCCTGTATACGTGAAAATAATTATTTTTGAAAATGTAGCCTATAGTGATATTATTTTAATCTATAGACGAAACTGAGAATGTCACGATTTACAATTTTCCTAATGAAACTACGGTTAATAGTTATTTATTCACAATCACTTTATAATTGGACTTTTATCCACACATATGAACCGTCTAAAGTGATACTTTGTCCAATAGTGGAATAAATTAACTTTATTTTGCTAGTAGAATAATGAAAAAATAATAAATCTATAATAAATCAAATTTAATTCATTTACTTATTGACATTAGCTTTTACATTTATAGTAATGAACATTTCGTTTTTTGTTTTATCACATTTAACTTCCTTTCTGTTAATAACAACCCTTGTAGTATTGTTGTCATCATTTTCAGAACGCATAACATCTGCCGAAGTTTGTGAAGAATTTGAACAAGTTACGCATGTCTTTTCTTGTAAGGAACAGCTATATTTTCCTTCGATATTCCTTGCAATATCAAGCTTGTTAGATGTAGACTCCTCAACATAACTTTCTGCTAGGGAGGAGCTCTTCCATCCACCATGCCGTTTGATGGTTGTAGGATCAGCACTTTTATTGGCCAATAAAGTTGTTGAAGTGCGCCTCATACAATGGCCAGTATATCCTCCTGGATTTGCGATAATCAGGAATGAAGCAATTATTAGGGTATGTTCGCCAATGTGTTGATTCCAACAGGCTGAGAAATACATTTCTGATTGATGTATCTTAAAAAGAATTTGTCTTGTGTTAGGTAAATTGGACGAAGAGAAATATATTTTCTGCATATTTCAACACCATTCACGTAAAATCCTTCTATAATTGTAAATTTTCTTGAAAGGCCCGTCTTGGTGTCAGGTATTGAAACAAGTAGGTAACTGCCAACGTCCTGTACGTCGCTAATTTTGAAATTCGTCAATTCGTGGCATCGACAGGCACCAGAAACCCTATTTAATTATTATTGCAACGTAAAATAATTCACTGTATACCTAACAATATGTAAAAGGTAAAGAGATATTACCTTAATCATTAAATATTATTTATCGGAAGTACCAGTGAAAAATTCTCCAATATGTGCTCTTTCCAATCCTGTAGCTGTTGTTGCTTTATATCCCCTCGATTCACTCTTCAAATAAGCAGAAAGATTGTTATATTTTCCAATATCTATATTTTTGTAGACCTTTATAGTAGTCACTTCAACCACAGATAAAATTGCATATTTTTTCTTCAAATTTAAAACATACGGTAGCATGACTTTCATTTATTGTCATTACTCTCCCTTTTTCGGCAAACACTTTTTCGTAATGTTCTCTGGATTTCGCTGGCTGTCAATAAATGGAAAATTGCTTCTTGAGCTTCTTCAAAAACAGCCACAGGAACACAATTACTTTCTTGCATTTTTACCAAATTCACATAGAATTGTTTATTAAATAATTGTTAATAAACAACGTACCATAGCAACCAGTAGGTATAACAAAACCTACCACGTTCCATTGAGTACTAGTAAGTAATATCAAGTCGTGCGAATATGTTTTTATTAAATTCCAATAATTTTGAAACCACAAATATGTTTATGATGTGATTATTTTTAATTACCTTTTATCAGTGACTATAACAAGAACGTAAGTGGCAACACAGCGTTGTGCGGTTTTACCTTGATGATATGCCGTTCAGTTACAGCACGCGCACTACAGTGAACTGCTTTGGCTTACGTCGAGTTGCGAGAAAATTCATTAGGGTGCAGCACTTCCTGAACCATACTTTATATAAGTATTATCCGGACTCACCGACTTTGTGCGGGTACGTGCCTATTGGCCTCGTTGACCGTCTTATTCTTGTTATAGTCACTGCTTTTATAACTAACATTTTTGCATGGATAAAATGCTACTTAAAACTTAAATTAGATGCTAATTATGCCAAATAATGAGTCTGATTGCTTAAACTTTAGTTTATTTTATGTTTTATAATAATATGTCAAAACTTCTATAAAACAGAGATATGTTGTGAAATGTTTGTTTTAAATTTTATGTGTTTTGTGTTACCTATATTTTTAATATGACTTTCCTTAAGTTTTAAATGCAGAAACTAGTGGATTCTTAATGTAGAAGTCCTTGCTAATTAATCCAAATAATGAGTCTGATTATTTAAATTGTTTAACATTTAGTTTATTTTATTAAATGACAATAATATAAAAAATAATAATTAAATATGTTTGTATTACTCTGCCCAAAAGGTGATGAACAATATGTATAATGCCCGGTCAATTTGATTATTTGAATAATTATTATCAAATTGCACACTC